CGTTTGAGCAGACACATGCACATTTGTGGCCTGCTGGAGGTCATTTTGCAGGGCTCTGGCAGTGCTCCTCCTGCTCCTCCTTGCACAAAGGCGGAGGTAGCAGTCCTGCTGCTGGGTTGTTGCCCTCCTACGGCCTCCTCCACGTCTCCTGATGTACTGGCCTGTCTCCTGGTAGCGCCTCCATGCTCTGGACACTACGCTGACAGACACAGCAAACCTTCTTGCCACAGCTCGCATTGATGTGCCATCCTGGATGAACTGCACTACCTGAGCCACTTGTGTGGGTTGTAGACTCCGTCTCATGCATGAAAGCACCGCCAGCATTCAAAAGTGACCAAAACATCAGCCAGGAAGCATAGGAACTGAGAAGTGGTCTGTGGTCACCACCTGCAAAACCAGTCCTTTATTGGGGGTGTCTTGCTAATTGCCTATCATTTCCACCTGTTGTCTATTCCATTTGCACAACAGCATGTGAAATGTATTGTCAATCAGTGTTGCTTCCTAAGTGGACAGTTTGATTTCACAGAAGTGTGATTGACTTGGAGTTACATTGTGTTGTTTAAGTGTTCCCTTTATTTTTTTGAGCAGTGTAGTTTCTCTCCCTCACTCACCTTCCCTCTACCTCCCTCTCCCCGTTATCTCTTCTTCCTTATGCCTCATTTTCCTCCTTCCATCACAACCTTGTCTTCCTCTTTCCCTCTCTCCTAATGCCTCATACTTCTCACCTCATGGCGAATTAAGCAGCCGGTTATATGAATGGTAAGCCCTCTCCCTGGGCAACCATCTGTCAACTATTCATCTCTCTCTCCCCCCCGCTCACCTTAATGACCGGCCAGTAGTAGGGCTGGTTGAGCAGCTTGACGATAGCGGGAATACCATAATGCATGCGCACGGCATTCTGGGCCACCTCAGCATCGGAGTGGCGCGATGTCAGGTGACGCAGGGCGCACACGGCCGGCTCCGCCACGTCCTCCTTCTCTCCCGCCCTCAGGATGGCGTGGATGAGCGCCTCGATGCCGTTGCCCTGGGTGACCATGGCCTTGTTGCGAGCGTTGTTGCAGGTGAGGTTGGAGAGGATGCCAGTGGAGCAGGTGAGCATGTTGACGTCGTCAGAGCTCAGGAGACCAACGAGGGTCTGAAGAAGACTGTCCAGACCCTCCTAGAGAGAAAGAGAGAGAGATTTGTTTATCTGTAATATATTAGAGGTTATTAAAAACATTGCTGTTGCAATAAATAAATAAATAAAGTAGATTTTCAAATAAATAAGAACATTTAGAGTAAATCCAAGTGAGGTAAAAAGAGTAAGTAAAAAGGTCAGAGGTTAGGACAGACACGAGTAGGTCAGAGGTTAGGACAGACACGAGAGAAACAGACAGCAGGGTGGAAACAGCCTCTATATGGCTCTAGGTTGGATGGTAGAAGTCTCACCTGTTTAGTGGCGGCATCAGACAGGTTCCTCAGGGTCCACAGACAGTTCTGCATCAGACGCGGACTGGAGCCTGTCAGGTGCATCCCCAGAGCCTGCATCCCACCTGACAGAGGGAAACAGAGAGGATAGATAGAATGTGTATGAGAGGGTGGGAGAGAGAGATCATCTATTCTCTAACTCCTTTTACTGCAAAATATGTACGTCATTCATAATCTCATAGCATTACAACTGAAAAGAAATGCCCATTTCTATAAGTAACTATAAATACACCCCCCCTATATTTCAAACACTCACCAGCATCCACGATGGCAGGTTTGTTGCTGGGGCAGACAGAGAGCACTTTGAGCACGCGGCTGGTGGTCCACAGGAGCTTCTCATAGCTGTAGTTCCTCATGATGTGGACCAGGCCCTCCGGACCGCTGTTAGCCAGGATGATCAGCTGAGAGAGAGAGGGATGATGGGAAATGGAGTTTAACAATATGAATCAAGTGATAGCATTTCTATGAGCAGCAAACAGTGTGGACATTCACTTTTAGTCCAGTTCGTAGCATGTTTGGATGTGCCCAATTCCTCCCTTTCTATTAGGGGTTAAGGTGTTAAAAAGTTCAAAGGGTCAAAACATTCCATGTATCACTCCTACCCAAACATGCACTTACACATTAAACCACAGGCAAGCACACACAGGGCAGACATCCCTACCCGGCCACACCCATCTCATATCCTCACATGCACTCACAGAATTACTATGGCAACCACACCCATGCCAACACCCCCCCACCCCACACTCCCCTCCCACCCACACTCCCCTCCCACCCCACACACCTTGCTCTCCTGGTTGCCATAGGACAGCAGCTGCAGGCAGTCTGTGGTGATGGCCAGGAACTTGGGGTTGCTCTTCTTCAGCAGAGGCACCATTCTCTGCAGGCCGTCGGCCAGGCGCACCGCCATCTTGGCTCCCTCCTGGTGCAGTAGCAGGTTGTGGAGGGTGGTGATGGCATAGAACAGCACAGACTCCATGGGAGAACTGACAGAGAGAGAGAGAGGGAGAATGTTATCTTAAGGATTTAGATAGATAAACATAGTTCATCGAGTCTTACTATTAAATGCTTTGTCAATCTTGTGGTTGTATTGAGAGAGAAAGCTTGCGAGTCAAAGAGAAGAGCGAAAAGAGAAAGAAAGAGAGAGAGACCGACACCATCTTTCATCCAGTCATGTCATCGCTCACCCACCGATGGACACACAGAGGTAGAAGAGAGGAAGAGTGCAAGGGACACGACGATGCGCGCCACACTCTCTCCCCCCTCCATACCGTCTCTCAACCGTCTCCTCAGACTCCTACCTGAGCATGCGGACCAGGGCAGGGATGCCCCCGCACTTGAAGATGGAGAGCAGACCCTCTCTCTGGTGGGACAGGTTGTGGAGGATGCTGGCTGTAGCCCTGGCTGTCTCCATGTCCCCAGTGTTCTGCATGGCCCGCACCACCGCCGCCACCATCTGGGGAGACGACATCAGCGCCCGGCGAGACGCCTCCTTACGGGTCAGCTGGTTGACGATCAGGGAGGCTTTGTTGACCACCACCTGGAAGACGTACAGGGGGTTTGGTTAGTTTGAATGGAGGGAAAATGCAGAGCTATTGAGGGCAAGGGTTGACTAGAAGTATAGCAATGTGAGGGGGGGAGGGGGGGGGGAGGTGAGACAGATGAGTGGATTGATGGCTAGATGCTTGGTGTAGATAAAGACAAATACACATGCAAAGCAGGGTTGACCTCAATTCAGAATTGAATTGAGAATGCCTCAAATTCCAATTCAATTATTGAATTTGAATTGAAGTAGTAAACAGGATACAGAATTACAATTAAAATTTGAATGAAATTCAATGAAATTCAAATGCCTTTTCTATTATATAATGGGTGCAGTCAAATATAGAGTATATCTAGTAGATAAAATATCAAACATGTTATATACATGCATATAAAATATTGTTGAAACAACTGATTTTCAGGACAAACTTCAAATTAATGATCAAAGGAAAACAAAACCTCAATGTGAATATTCGAAGTTATTTCATTAATACTACATTTCCCAGAATGCATTACTTTAAACCCTCAAGTTATGAAATCATTGGTGGAAATATAATTGGCTATTCTAAGCACTATAGTTAAAAGAGTATATGAACATTGTTTCCAGTGTGATATATTCTTTGGTACCTGTTGAGTCAATTAAACTTTCATGTTCTATGACTGAGTGGAATTTATTTGAATTGCACAGAATAACATTTTACTTCCTGTCACTCAAACAAAAACATTTACATTCTGTGTGGCCAATTCAATTCAAACTCATAAGTTGAATAGGAGTCAATTCCAAAATTCTGAATTGAACCCAACCCTGACGCAAAGAGCTGTACCAAACAACCTGTACTGTACCTGGTCCTCATCGTTGAGCAGCTTGGTGAGCTCGGGGATGGCGCGCGTGGCCAGCTCGGCATCATCCTGGTAGTTGATGAGGTGGACGATGGCCGTCTTGAGGAGCTGCGAGGGCTCGGCCAGGCGCTGGACGTTGGTCATCTGGGACGGGTCAGTCTGGGTGGACAGGATGGCCGTGCCCTCCATCACCGTTTCTGGGAACATGGCCGCTCGGACACGCTGGGCCCGGGTCAGGGCATACTGAGACTCCACTTCTAAAAGGGAGGGAGGAGAGAGGAAAGGTGGAGAGGGTTGAGTGGTTTGTATTTTGAGATGGTGGGTTTGAATGATAGTTCAGTATTAAGCAGCAATAAGGTGTGTGTGAATGTTTGTTTTTTTGTGCGCGTGTTTTAACCCCATGGTCCTAAGTGAAATTGAGTGCATGTTTGTGGCAGGTTGTACTTTTGAATGTTAGTTTATGTACATTTGAGTGCGTGTATTCCAGCATTAAAACTGTGTGCGTCTCACCAGCAGGGTTCTCTGAGACGACGGTGGTGGTGACGGTGCTGTAGTGCTTGGTGCTGTATTCGGTCCCATCGTTATCTGTCCTCACTGTGGTGGCTCCTGACTGGATCCCAGAGTCCCCGGCATAGTATGTCTGCTGCCACTCATTCACCTTCACCATCCCGTCATTGCCCACTACGAAGGGAAGGAGGGCAGAGAGGTTAGTATGGAAATGCACTTTGAAGTAATATATATCTATATTTAACACACTTGTTAGTGCCCTCAGGGCTCGCCCACTACAGAGGGAAAGAGGGGAGAGTTATGGGGTTATTATTGACAACACTGCACTTAGCTATTATTCTAATACACTTGTTAATGCACTAGGAGGGAGGGCAAAGAGGAGTTATTATGGACAACACTGCACTTGGAAGTGACCTTTTAGCTATTATGCATTTAACATACTTGTTATTGCACTAGGGGGAAGGCATTGTGTTCAGTTCAACAAAGGAGAGGAAGGAATATGAGGGAGAGGAGGAATTAAGAGACGAGAAGAGGAAGAAAACAAAGGATGAAATAAAAGATGATGAACTCACTCTGCATTTCCATGGTGGCCTCCTGGGCTCAAACCAACAACAATGGAGAACACCTGAAAGACAAACAACAAGAGAACATTTAGATAAATAATTAACTTACAATCATACCACTTAATTATTTTACAGTTTGCCTTCTTTATTCTTCTAACCTGTCTTTTTAAATGCTAAACATTATCTAGGCCATTAGTTAAAATATATTTTATTTCATACTCTTCTCCCAGGTAAGAGTACAGATAGCTGAATGAATGCCCTCCCTCTGAACAGTCCCAGAAATGACAACACCGAGTTAGCAGCAAAGGCTGCTGGGATAGGAGGGGAGAGAGAGGGGGCGGAGAGACAGCTGCAGGACAGGAATGCCTACTGCTCAGCCCCCGCGGCCTTTAACCCTGGGCCGAGACTCCGCCTATCCACACGGCTGTGGGAGCTAGACCCTTGCCTGCCTGATGGCTGCCGATGCACAGTATCAGCACCCAGAACCCGCTGGACAGGTTTCCCGTGTGTGTCTGTGTCTCTGTGTGTGTGTGAGAAAGTAAGTAGTCATTCATACACACCCTATTCCTCCTAAGACAACACCTTTATGGTGGACACAGTCATACACAGACACACTGTTCCTCCTCAAACGCCACACCTCCTTCACCTGTAAATACAGGCCCAGTGCTTTATGACCATTTATCACTGGCTGATTTAAAAAGAAACACTCCCACCTCTATTCTCTAACAGTTCTTTTTCAAACCTTATCAAGTCATTTTTTCCCAGCAGTACCCGTCTCTTATCTCCATTCTGCTCCCTCTCTTGTTGTGACCATCGATAATACACCCTCCTCTCCTGAAGTATCCGTCATACAGCTAAAGTGTTGGCTTGGACCTCATCTACTCTTCCCCCACTTAAATGATTCCTCTCCTGGTTCACTCAGTTGGGCCAATGTGGTTTCTGCATTATGATGCATTTACACGACACCTGAACATTCTACTGCAGCCATGTTAGTTCTCCATTAACATTACATGGGGAATATTTAAACAATGCTATCTAACTGAATGTCTAGAATTGGAACAATATTTGAAAAGTTGGCCTAACTCTAAAGATGTCTCTGACTCAGGTCATTCAGCCCCCTCAGCTGGCACTAGTCGCTTTCTCTCCATACTATCCTATATTCACTATTTTCCTCTCATTTTGTGCATTTATCTGAAAGTCCATTAATATTTTACCATTAAATACATTTGAACTTTTTCTGTTGGGAGCCATTTTCCCAAAGTGCAAAAGCCAAGTGTGTGAGTATGTCAATGTGTTTAAGCATTTGTTTATGGAAATCTTATTTTTCATGAGTGTGTGTGTGTGTGTCATTCCTAATTCTGATGGTCTTCAGACTCAAAATAACCTCTGGTGCAGGAAAGAGTTAGTTGTCCCACATCCACTCCTCAATATAAACACTCAGTTTCACTGTGAACAAAACGTCACCGACTTCTACACTCAACCCACCACTAACTCAATACATTATCAATGATGGCTCGTTCATTGCAGGAAAATGCGATGGGAGTGGCACGTGATGTTACAGACCACTCTACAATGTCACCAGTGTGTGGTTCAGATGTTTGCGGTGATGGGAGTTACTGTAACTGGAGGATGGGATTTTTTGCTGGGCACAGACATTACGACATGTTGTTTGTTTTGTGTGTGTGTGTGTGTGTGTGTGGTGTGTGTTTGTGAACTGGATAGGGTTGTGGGAGAGTCAGTGGGAAGCATGCATGATCCAAGAGTCTGTTTGGAGCCATTCTCCCAAAGAGCAAAGGCCAAGTGTGTGAGAGTGTGTCAATGTGTTACATTACATTTCTGTTTACGTGCATCTCATTTTCATATGCATGAATGTAGCAGCTTGAGACATCACACAATTCCACATGAATGCACCATACATCCAATATTAACTCTGTATGATGCAGAAATATTTTAAAAGTTATTTATTTTGCACTGCTACTCCTTGTTCATATGAGAGTGGGTTTCATTTGATGCTTTTAAACCATTATATTTACCTGCATATTTCTAGACTCAGGCTGCAAATACCTACAATATGAAATACTTCCTATGTTATGACAGATAGTAGCCTACAAATTCACTTAGTATTGTCATCACTGGAAAAGTCTGACAGATATTTCACTTTCCAAATATATGCAGCTATGGAAATGAGGTGGAGGGTTGGACTGAGTACCGCATGGCAGGAGGACAGGAATTAAGGAAAGCGTATCTATTTTCCACCTTGTAGTAGAGCAAGGAGAGATAACGTGGAGAGTTGTGACAGCATGTTATCCCACCTGGCATGTTTGTACTTGATGGGCGATGCACTAACATTCCTGGCTACCTCTGCCATTCCTTTCCTTGTATGCAACCAAGGCATCTCCAGGTACTGTATTTGCATATATGTGATTATGACCTAATACAGTAAACATCAAATGTATCTATGAGCTTTTCTATGCAAAAGCATATTAGTTTAATCTCATATATGACTGTTTTAGAAATATAATTGTCATCCCTCTGGAAATCACATTTAACACAATTTACTTTATGCCGCTCCAAAGTATTTTTGTACATGCGAGATAGTAGGACTACTCCTGTACCAGCGTGCATAACTATTCTTGTCAGAAATGAGTCTGGAGTTGCTCTGTGGGTCTGCCAAGCAGTGGGCCTGTTACTGATGTGAGTGATAGTACCACACCCTCCTGTGTTAGCCCCAGGGCTCAGAATGGGGGACGTGTGTGTGTGTGTGTGTGTGTGTTTTCTGTTTCACTCTCTAGAACTGGAGAGTTTTCATGCGTTTCCCACAGAGACCAGGAGTGTAGTGGAGATGTGTGTATAATTGTGTATTTCTCACTAACGACCTTCCTGTGTTTTCCCCAGGGTTCAGAGAGAAATTAGATTGGCATGCGTGTGTGTGTGTAAGTGTGTGTCGTTCGAGGCCCTCCACCCCGAGAGCCCTCATGCGTACTTATCTCACTAGCATTTGGAACAGCAGACTGGTGAGTCACAGGCAAGTTACCATGTTGCCATGGGAGTTAATAAGTATCGTGTGTGTGTGTGTGTGTGTGTGTGTACAGTATGCATCGGTTTCACTCTAGGGCCTTGAGAGGTACGTGTGCATATCTCAGCTCCATTGGGAACAGACGAGTCACAGCCCAGTCAGCAAGCTACCTGACCTATGGGGGTTCACAGTGAACGGGGCGTTGGCCAAGAGACAGATCTGTCTGAGCTTGCAGCTACACGTTACAGGTACAAGCGGACTCATCATGGACACAGAAAATGTCTCCTAGGCTCTTTCCCACCTCTCTTACGGCCCCATTTCTCTCTCACTCTGTTTAAAGAGGTGTGGCACTCATTTCTCCTTTTCCCAAGCTTGGGAGTGTCTTCTCTTTTCAACTGTGCCGATTACCATTAGGTAATAATGAATTAGTAGAGGACATTGAAAAATAATACCATGCCAAAATTCCAAAATACTAGGTATGCTGTATATCCTGGTTCCACAAGCTTATATCATAACACCTCTTTAAGATGAAAAAGAAAGCTGAAATAACTTTCCATTGTTTTTGGTGAATCTGTGACAGTGTTTGTTCCGTCTTTGTTTTCCTAGGCAAGGCAGTGGGTTCAGACAATGTGTTCCGATTTGATTGTTGATTGTTGCACTGTTGTGACACACCCCGCATCACCTTAGTAACAAAGACTTCACTCACACACTATACTGTGTGTGAGTGAAGTCACTTTACCCCTACCTACATGTACAAATTACCTCGACTAACCTGCACCCCCACACATTGACTTGGTACCGGTACCCCCTGTATATAGCCTCGTAATTGTGTTACTTTTTTTAATTACTTTTATTTATTAAATATTTTCTTAACTTCATTTCTTGAACTGCATTGTTGGTTAAGGGCTTGTAAGTAAGCATTTCACGGTAAGGTCTACACCTGTTGTAGTCAGCGCATGTGACAAATAACATTTGATTTGATACTGTTGACTTTATCTAGTCTATCGACTCTTCCTGGTTGTCCATCAATCTTGTTCTCTCTCGCTCGCTCTCTCACACGCCTTTTGTAACACTGTGCTAACAGCCTCGGCAGCCTTGACCCTGACTGTACCAGACTATAGATGCCTATAGTGATAAAGTTGATGATATGATAGCAGAGAAGAGAAGAACAGATAGGGAGGCATGTTGAGACCGTGCTTTTACAGTGTTTTGGGTGCTGGTAAAACCAACAGACCTAGAGCTTGAGGCTCCTTCAACCACCAAATCCCCATTTGCAATCAACTGGAAATGAAAAGCATGGATTGCCTGAGCTGTGTTGACCACAAGTTAAAGTGGTAGTAGTATTGCAATATGTAGTCTACTGACAGAAATACATTGTGTATATCTGGCAATGAACACAAATAAATGGTGTAAAAACACTACTACATCGTGGGTAGTGACCAGGAACTGCTGTTGGTTTGCATATTGTGTACTTCGAGTGGACTTTGCTCGTCGGCCCTGCATTCTAAGTAGTGTGATTAGGTTAATGACTCATGGACTCACACTCCCTCCTACTGTACCTTGCTCCATTATCGTTCACCACAGTACTAGGAGCTATACTTTTCTTTTCCAAAGCTAGCCATAGACACACCCTGCCCTGGCCCTACCCACACCCTGCCCACACCCTGCCCTGGCCCTACCCACACCCTACCCACACCCTGCCCTGGCCCTACCCACACCCTACCCACACCCTGCCCTGGCCCTACCCACACCCTGCCCTGGCCCTACCCACACCCTGCCCTGGCCCTACCCACACCCTGCCCTGGCCCTACCCACACCCTACCCACACCCTGCCCTGGCCCTACCCACACCCTGCCCTGGCCCTACCCACACCCTGCCCTGGCCCTACCCACCCACCCCCACTCTATTGTTCTTCCTGAGCTACTGGGATAGTTTGGAGGATTCTGATCTTGGGGCAGGTTTGCGTTTACCCCACTAATGGTTAAGGTTAGGATTGGGGGAGGGGAATATGATCCTAGATATACCTAGGAGAAGCGTAACCCTAAAGCATTCTGGACTGATGGTC